GTAATAACACGTTTCTCGACTGCCGTTGTAGCTCTGTGTCGCAATCCTTCACCCATTCTTTAAAAAGTGTAGAGCTCACCCATGCATTTCTGTTCGCACGATACACAACTTGTAAACTGTCCATTCTGAGTCCCTTAAAGCAGCGAGGCTTGGCACATTTTCCTATAAACAGCAACTTCCTCTTGTCTGTTCCGGACATGTTTGAGCAGTACAAGACAGTTACGCGATCCATTGCTTTTTTGCAGCCAGAGAGAGTAGCATGTTTGTAACTTAAAGAGCCGTCCGGTGTAGCCCTATAGTACAACCCGGTTTCATCAGCATTATAGATGTCACCTGCTGGAACTTTTTCAAGAAGCTCTGGTAGTTTTGTTGATTTCCATTCTTCAGCTCGAGCGCTATTGGCACTTTCTTTCTCACTATGTGTTTTCTTAAATTTTACATCATGTCTAGAATTCCATCGGGACAACCAGCCATCCGTAGCTATAAAATCTTCGTGGCCCAGCATTTTAGCAAGTTCTTCTGCTTTGTACTTTAACATTGGGCCACTTACTCGCACGGGTCGTCTAGTAACAAAGGCAAACCAATCATTAAGGGCCTCATCGACGTCTGGATCCTTGTTTTAACGCTTTCGTTTTTGGGAAGTACCTCGCCGTCCTTCACATTGTGCCCATCCTTCTCGCAGATCTTTCACTTGTTTTATCAGGCGCGATATTGTAGGTTTTGCCAAGCAGGTAATTTCCATCAATCGACGCTGACTAGTGGTTGGTCCCTGTGCCTTGATCTGATCTAGGAAACGAATCTTCTCAGCTAACGTCAAGTCCCGTCGTGGCATTTCCTTAACATGCAACAAGACACGCACAGTTCACTGAGGTGAACTCGAGTCTGTCTCCCGGGTATTTCTATGGTTGACCTAGCCACCTGCTGTCCTATGATTTGCCGGACCTGTGTGTCCGCGATCACTTGCCTTGCTCGAGAATAGGCCCGCAATGCGGGCTCAGGGCATTCGACTCAATGGACGTGCGGTACATCGATCAAGCGGTTAACGACATGTGAACAAGCATGTATGTCTTCGCTCCGCCTACAAGTGTTGGAAACTACAGTCAGTTTAGGGCGGTTCTGAAGCCAATTAGATAGATGTGCCTCAAGGTTGCCACAGTACAGTTTATCCAAAGTCCAACTCGGGTTACCGTACCTGAATAATACGCTTTCTTGCCCGACATATGAACTGTGGGTTTAGTCCAGACATCCAGGCACAGAACATGATTTTAACACCTCTGTTACCTGCCACCTTCTATCGCCTGGTCCGATTAAGCGGAATTCCGGTCCTAATAAGCGGCTAAAATTAGGCTAGCGTAATAGGATTCGTTTCGGTTCTTCAGAATTTGGCCCGAATAAGCGGCTGGTCCTATTAACCGGTGGTCCTATTAACCGGAATCGACTGTATATTATTTTGCAGTAAGCATACCGATTGTAGTTGGAAAAGACGGAGTGCAGCAGCTAATATTATGGCTTAATGAAAACGCATCAATTAAGGCCAATTAGCAGCTCACATCTGCGAAGGTATATAAAAATATATTTTAATCTGTTACTCAAATGGTGCTTTAGAAAATTCTAATGCTAACCATAGGTGTATCGACAACAACAATAGATTGCAACCTCTGGCTGGCTAGCCGAACAACCTCCTCGTGGAGCCAGCTGAGTGGTTCGGGTTTAATCCGTTCCAGCAAATAGTTCAGTGGCAGTGTTCCAGGACGTGGTGGGTTTTCGCCTGGCAAGCGTTCTCCCTATAAAAAGCCACACATGTCTGCTTAACAACTCTGCGACGTAGTGAATGTGACTCGCCACAAAATAAACTCACTGCGATCCGTTTGATCCCGCTGTACCAAAGATGTGACCTTTTCACGGCAAAACAGCAGAGTTAGCAACAGCGTAGTCGTGACAGCCATCAGGCGAACAAACCTGAGACTCGGGGCCGTCGTACGTTACAAAGCCATTACTACTTAATAAATCAAAGGTAGTATGGCTTTTTACGATAATGCCCAGAACACATCATGGTTGCTGTGCCGCCAAGAACTTATGCTCCATACAAAGATCAGCAAAAGTTCTAGTACTCATTGTGGTGAATGTTCTGCATGGTAGCAGTGAAAGATCATTCAATGGAGAGAAGCATAGCAAACAGTTTTTGCTCCCTAATTTTGAGGGAAATATTGTTCCCGCACGGGAACGATGTCTGATAATTGTAAACTTTTCTGACTTTAATAAGGTATTCGCGACCGAAAGGATATTGGAGGAGGGAAGCATTCTGTAGCGGATGGTTTCCTTACTGTTCGATGCTGTGGCACAGGGTATTAACGTCCTTTCTGCTTTTCGTTCCGACAAGAAGCAGGACGACTTCGCGAAACATTGTCCTCTAAAAGTAGCCTGTCAAGATGAAGAAGTATGCCACGTTATCCCTAAACGGACCTCACATCTGAAAGGAGAATCATTCTGTTTTGAGTGACATCTCCCTAGAAGATCGAATTAAAATGAAGCATGCCGTCGATGAACTACAAACCCGCTGGGCAGAGAGTGAAAGCAATCTTCACATTGTTGATCTTCGAGTGGTGCAATGAATCCCGAGGGCTCGCTGGAGGCCAATCTTTGTCCTACCAGGGCACTGAGGATCAAGACTGAATTTAGAGTGATATCTGCTAACGTGCCTAGTTTGAAAAATAACTTGGATAATATTCTACTCCTTGCTTTGGAGCAACAACCTGATTTGATGGTTTTTACGGAATCCTGGCTATCCTCAGATATATTAGACTCGGAGGCACTTTCCGGAAGGATCGTCTAGGAGGAAGATCTATGGTGGTGTGGTTCTCCATTGGAAGACAGACTGTAAGGTTCACACAGAAGCTATATGCGACCTCGACGAAGGCTCGGAAATTCATTGGTGAAGAGTTCACAATGCGTAGAGGCCACTCATGATCGGCGTTATCTATTAATTCCCTTCGGGATCAGGATTCCATGAGGATACACGGTGGAGGCAAAGACTGCCTGATGGTGGGTGACTTCAATGCCCTGGCTGTAGACTGAGACGTAGTTCATCGCGATTTCTCTCCAGATTCTTTTGATGCGGTTTATGAGAAACAATCGTCGAACGTAACCGAATTCAACACGTCATTTCGCCCACCGACTTTTCCAGGCCAAATGCCGCACACCCGTGAACATATGCTCACAATTGCACCAGCAGATGTCTCAAATTTAGCTATTCTTCATTCGCTCGGCAAATCTCCTTTTGTCGACGGGATAGTTAGCTATCAATGTCCAGGGAGTACAAAAGACGGAATTTCTAGCGAGCTGACGCATTCCGCTAAAAATTGGCTGCAAGCTTCATGGACTGGAACATCCATCAGAATTGGAATCTCGGCACTACTTAGAACTTTTTGTGGTCCAAAATGTTGCTCGGCATCGATCAAGTTGTTCCAAATGGCACAAAACGAGTTTCTAATTCCCCATGGATCGGTCGGGAAATCAGATCGCTTATGCTGTGAAAACGAAATCTTTGGGATCAGGCAGTACAAGCCTACTGTAATTACAAAGTGGTCATAAATTTGTGTACTCTGAGAAAACGCGAGAAGTAATAACTATATGAGCAGCACCTGGTCGAGTAATCCGCTACTGATTCGAAAAAACTTCTCGTCAACCTAACAAGCAGCGCCAAACCTGGCAACGGCATACCTACTCTGTATGCAAGCAAAGATGACTATAATAGGTTCGGAATCGAAACAGAATTAGGCTCCAAACAAGCTAGTCTCGACTCATAGTAAGAACACCGAATTGGAATGCGAATTTCGCGGGTATATATTCTAAATCGACTGATGAAAAGGAATAACAATAAGCAATCATTGAATATTGTATGTACAATCGTCACATCCTCCGCAGCTTGAATGCAACTCCAGGTTTCTGTAATTCGGTTGGGATTTCTGTTCCAATCTGGTGGATCCTCTTCAGCCTGACTTTGCTCAGAACTCTCATGAGAATCTGAAACTGAATTGTCATTAGTATTTTCAGTGCACACAGAATCGAATGACAACTGACCGGAATCCTTGTATCGTACCTGATCAACATGCCGTTTATGTCCAGAACAATCACCGAGATCCGGAATTTTAACCATATGACTTCTAAAGTTGCTAAGAATGAATCCGGATGAAGGACGTAAAGCATTGCCTTTATAATAAGACACTTAACGGTTCCCAAACCGAACATGTTCGACCTCAATGGTCTGAATTTACACAATTTAGCGCGTGTATCTCCAGTGGTGGAATGCACACAGTTACGGTATTGAAAATTGGAAGTTATCAACACAGCGATCAAGTCCATCAAATGAAGAAGGAGCACAGGAGGTAACAGAAGGTTGCAACAAGTTTTCAGCTAGGCCATTGGAGCATGGATGTCGTGGAGCAGTAAAAGGGTGACGACACTCACAACTCTGCAGCCAAATGGTAACAAGTGGAGCTGAAAAGTAGGAGCCATTGTCACTTATAAAAGCTAATGGGACTCCTTCCCTAAGAAACACATTTTTCGAGGCGCGGACAGTAAAATCAGTATTTGGTTAATCAGTCAGGAATACTTCCGGCCACTATGAATACGAATCCACCACCACAAGTGCATAGTACTTCTGCAGAAATGGTCCACAGTAATCCATATGTACCCTTTGCCAGGGCTCGCATGTCATCGGCCATGGTGTCCACTTGGACGGCTGCTGTAGAATCTTGTGTTTACAGTTCGGGCAACCAGAAGCAGTTCGTTGAATATCTGCATTTAATTCAGACCACCAACACATGCATCGAGCTAAGGACTTCATCTTTTCAATACCAAGATGGTCAGAATGTAGATCCATCAGAACAGCTGATCTCAACGTCGGGGGAATAACGATACGCTCATTCCCACACAGTAATCCATCAACCGTAAAATTGTGGAAACTTCCTTTTTAGAGAAACAGACTGTCCTCCTTAGACACCAGAAACCAATGACCCGTAATACTTTCTAGTTTCCGTGATAATGGCTGAACGAGAGACTGGAAGCGGCTGGGTGAGTAAACAACTCATTTCAGAATTGGCTTCGCTTACCGTTGCATTTCGAGATAAGTAGTCGAGGTGAGGAATGAACTTTGCACTTCTGTGCTCAACCACATAGTTGTACGCTCTCAGAGCAACACTCCATCTTTGAAGCATAGCTATTGAAGATTTAGCTAAAGAACGGACAGGGTTGTAAATGAACTTTAGAGCTTCATGAGGCTGGACCTTACCGTGCTGCGATGGTTTGTATACCTCGGCGATACATGGAGCTATGCTAGGTAGTGCTTCTTTTGCACTTTCAGAACCACTCATACCAGATTGGTCAATGATTAGAGGCCAGACAAAGGCAGTCTCCTGGTCTTCCAGGTTGGAATGAGGGTGGCAGCTAGTCCTTAAAACGGACTCTTTGTAGCCCAGCGCCAAACCCGCGGCCTTGCGGTCAGGTTGTTGAACCAAAGGCTTTGGTTGAGAACCCTAATCGTTCTCCTGTCTAGGCCTGGGTAACCTGACAGTATCCTGCCCACGCAATACCATGAATCTTACCTTAAACAAATTTCTGATGCTCTGACCACCGCAGAGGATAAGCAACGGTGCCCTATCTTCTGCATCGAGCAGGGTGGATAGGGGTTTGGATGCCACTGCTCAAGCCTTTCCGTCTTCTTATTCCCCTTCCTACGCTTTTCACTATTACCGTCCTCATCCAACTTCACTTATATCCCTCCAGTTTTCAACCCCCTGATTCTTGGCCCTCCCCCACCTTGCTTTACTAGGCTTTTACCTTCTAGTTTCAACTCACATGTGAACGCGGAGCGTCACCCCTCTCCTGTCGACAAGCCCATGTCCAACCAAGCGGCCAAGCCCAGTTCGTCGACTTCCATTTGGAGCCCTCGATCATCCTTCAGGTTGGCATGCCTCAATGTATGCACACTGCTACAGATCGGTCAACAGGCAGCAATTTCCCGAACATTAGAGACACTCTCGATCGATAAATGCTGCTTATCGGAGACCCGGCTGCAAGACTCGAGCTCTGTGCTCACTTTGCGATCCCCTTCATTCAGGTGACGCCAGCAGCACTTTCTCATTGCGCATATCCGGTGACGATGCAGCTTCGAGCACCGGCCAAGCCGGTGTTGGCATTGCTTTGAGTTCCCGGGCTGTATCTGCTCTGGTTGACTAGATTCCAATCAGCAGCCGGTTGTGTGCGGTTCGATTGGCTGGCTCGTTTAAAGCTTCGAAGTCGCGGGGGACTAACAGGTGTTTATTCGTCATCGCTGCCTACGCACCGACAAACTGTAGCGATGATTCGGTAAAAGACAACTTCTATCGCTAATTGAACGAGCTCCTTCGCCACAGAAGAAGCTCGGAAACTGTAGTGCTGGCTGGGGATCTGAACGCAAAAGTTGGAAAATTATCCACTGACGAAATGCATCTGGGCGGCCAACATGGTGTAGGCTCCCGTAATGATAACGGTGAGCGGTTAGTTCATTTGTGTGAAGATGCTCGCTTATTTCTTGCGAGCACTAATTTCCGACACAGCACCCGCCGGAGAGTGACTTGGCGCCCACCATCCTCGAAGCAGCTATGAACGCAAATCGATCACATTGCGACAAGTTACCGGTGGAGAGGCTGCGTCCAGAACTATCGCTCGATTTGGAGCACAGGTGTGGACACCGACCATGCACTTGTATGTGTTGGCCTGCGGATGGGTTTTGGCGGACGCCCAAGACGACGCTGTGAACGCATTGACACCAGCCAACTTACGAAACCAGCTGCTCTGAATGCATATCAAATTGCGTTGTCATGCGAGTTGTGTAAGCACTTACTGGATGCAGTTGAAGCTCACTAGTCTCATATTCACCAGTCGTTACTAGCAGCAGGAAAATCCTCATGTGGTGAGTCTAATCGCCAACGTGGACATTGGGTCTCTTCGCAGTCTCTGGAACTTATCAATGCTCGCCGGCATATTCCGGCTGCAAACGAACACAATGAAACTCGCAAAGAGCTCCGGGCAAAACTCCATGATAGCCTGAAGAGACTGCGAACCCTGGTGGTCTCATTGTGCATCAGAGATGGAAATGGCCGCTGCCCTTGGTAACCATCGTAAGTTATTCCGGCTGATACGGGAAACGGGCAGCAGAAGACCTGGTGTTAGTGAAACTATACCTGACGAGGGTGGACAGCCTATTCACAACTTGTCAAAACGCTCGGAGCGTTAGGCTGAAGGGTTTGAAAGGCAATTTAATCGGTCGAAATTGTTAGATATCCCGCCGGCCACTGATGACCCCGCTCCCTGGGATATCCATTTGGATCCACCCTCTCGGTCAGCTGGCATTCAACTGTCGTATTTATTTTTCCTTTATGTATTGTAGGTATGTAGGTATTTACTTTATGTATTGCGGTACAATAGCGGAGGTGTTTTACCATCTCTAGTTGACATGTATAATGATGATGATGAGGATCTCGCTCAGAATTCGAACAGAGATCGCACTGTTGAAGTTAAATGAAGCCGCGGGACCAGATGATCTTCATCCAGCCCTTTTCAAATTCGGGGGGCCTGCTCTTGTGGATGATCTATACGAGTTACTAGTGAAACTGTGGGAGCAGGAAACTGTCCCAACCGTCTGAAGCTGCACCGTCAAAGCCCCAATTTTTATGGGAAGTTCACGATCGGAATTCGACAACCTTAGTGGAAGCAGTCTGATCCCCATCGCCTCCGAATTTCCTGCCTTTGTCATCTTTCACAAACTGACTGGCACTCGTGAAAGCCAGATTCGTGTAGAGCAAGCCGGGTTTCGTCGGGGTCGTATATGTATTGACCGCATTTTCACTCTGCGTCAGTTGTTAGAGCACCGTCACATATACTGGTGGCCCACCGTTGTCGTGTTCCTCGTACTCTCCAAAAGACATCAGAGTACCTATTCCTACAATCTAAGAACGCAAGTACACCAGCGGTCATCCGTCGAACGCTACCTTGCCGTGCTTGCTCAGGATAACGGGTTGTTCCAAGCAATGAGCAACGGCCTCGAAAACTGATAACTAGCGCGTCGGATTGCATAGACGGGCGTTCGGAGAACTAGACACCACTATTTTCATACAGATGCTGAA